AAAAAAATAAATAAAAAACATAGTGGAGAACCCTCGTGACTCTCGCTCTATTATTGCTTGCATAGTTTGGGCCCCACCATAGGCGATCAGAGCTTTCTGCACCAGCTGGAGAGAATTACACGTGTCATGTAATGTGGACCACACGTGGAATAGCAATTCGACGCGCATCGGTTTGGCTTTATTGGTCTTTCGTTATTTCACTTGTCAAATGCTATAGAACTTCAACTAGCTAGGAGTAGATTTTTTTTTAAGGGAAAATTGATATTGATATTATGTGATTCTCTATAGTTTTATTTGACGAATTGATGTGCTTAAAAAATTGTTAACTGGTTGTTTAATTAGATGCTTTGCGAATTATATATTTCGCACAGAAAAATACACTTATCCCTGTTATCACGAGTAGAAAATAAAGCTATATATATATATATATATTAATAATTATAAATCTCCAAATTCTTTTTCTTTTTGAAAAATAATAAGAAATAATGCGTTTAATGTTTTCAATTTATTCTAGCCTTTTCGAGTCATTACATTATTTCAGCAGTTAATTTTAGTGAGGTAAAAGTTTAGAAGAAATCAGAGAACAGATTCAGCGGCTCCGTTTATTTGTCTTGAATCATATTAAACTTTTTTTTTTTTTGGCTCGTGAATCATATTAAAGTCGAATCTATCGGAAATAAACTATAAACTAGCAAGACAAACTGACAAAGATCGATAGTAGTTTTATGTTTCCTATTTTTTTAAGGCAGTAGTTTTTTATTTTCTTTATTCACTTAACTTCGAAGAAGATATCATCAATAAACTAGAATGGTTAAATCACTTTTAAATATTATGTTCCCACTCCAGTCTATATATTAGCCACTATTTTTTTTTTAAGGAATCTATATTAGTACTTTTCGTTGAACAAGAATTAATTAATAATATTAATTAATTTGATGTACTCTAAGCGCTATCGCTCTTGAGACGAACAATATTATGCAAAAAGCATATAGCTTTTACCGGATATATCATACATAAATATTTCCTACGCTTCTCGAACTCAAAGAACAAGTAAATAGGTTTTACTTTTACATTCGTAAATATATTTTTAATGCATGCATCTATACATGTACATATACGCATAAACACACACACACACACATATATATATATATACACACACACACACACATAAACAAACGAAAAAAAAAAACTAAATATCACAAGTATTTATGAGCTTTAACAAACTTCTCCCTTTCTGATCTGTAAAGCATAACACGAGGAAAATTAATACTATTTCATATAGGCCTCATTCACTTCGCAGATTCGAGTTTTCAATTCGAATTGAGATGTAATATTTTTTGAGAACTTTTAACTGGATCAGAAAAAGTTGGAAGTGATATTTTCTGAGAGCTTTTAATTATAGAAATCTATAACTGAAAACTCGAATCGGTGAAATGAACGAGACCATAATTTCTAAAAAACAAGACAACGAAAGATATGAAACCCTTGGTGAAATTAAGGTTCTTGAAATTATTTACTACATATATATTTAATTAATATTCATGTAGTCTCGTTCTTATATGAATCATTAATAGTGCCAGTACAAAAATCATTTAGTTATGAAGATCAGATTGACAGCGGACAAACTGATATTCACGAACGAACGGGTTCGTACTAATATTATACATAATATTTAATACTTAAATAATTTTGTGAAGAACAAGAAGATGACCGATCGAACCCGAAAAAAAAAAAAAAAAGGAAAAATCTCATTAGATTTGTGCATCTATGAAAGGACATGTCGTCAAATTTAGGGTTTTCCTGGATCTTGATGAAGACACCACAAGACATTAACTGCCATTTTTGCTCGGCAAAGTTTTGATGGGTTAGCGATCAAGCACAGGAGGGTGGTACTTTTGGGACTCCTTGTCGTTGGAGTTCCACCATCACGCTGTCAATCGAAGGAGGTTTTAGGCCCAGTGGAAGTGGCAGCCATGGTTTCACTAAAACATCTCCAATAGCTGCGTCTATGCTTTCTTTTGACTGTTCCAAAAACAAAAAATTTAAATTGACCGTGAAAAAAATTATTATTCTTAACGCAAAAATATGATACGATGAATAAATATTATATTACACTTCTCACTTCTATTTTTATTACGTAAAAATATTGTTCTCCCCAAAAAATGCATGGCAAAAGTTATATCATATTTACATACATAAATATATTCAACAAGTAAAAGGATTGAACATGAGAAAATTTCCTTCTTTTCCGACGCAGTCAAATAAACTTAATTATTTGAACAATTTATCTTGATAGAAGAAAGTAAGCCCATATTCATTTCACTAGTTTAGTTCAGTTCAACACAGTTTATATAATGAGTACAGTTTGAATTGGCGTTTAGTAAACATGCAGTTTGAATTATATTCCCTATTTGAACTGAGTTAAATGGCCCAACTTAGAGTTTAACTCCCCCTCAAGTTCAATCGTTCAAATCATTTTTGAACAGTAAAAAATGCCCACTCTCTGCTTTTATCAAACACAAATTCAAATTTTATTCTATGTTTAAATTAAAACTTTAACTACACATCGAAACATCAATTCAAACTACAATTTAAACCGCACAGTTTGAATTTTCTTATTCAAATCAAAAAGTTCAAACCTACAAAGTTTAACTTAGCGAACCAAATGGGGGCTAATTAAGTTGGAAAAGATACGCGTAGTACAGTCTGCGTGTACGTAGTTCCATTTATAACATAACTTCAATCCTATCCTACGTATCTAAAACTTTGGTTCACTATTATAATGTAGTTCTTGCGATATTCCTAGTGTGTTACAACATTAACAACTATTTACAAATATCAAATTATTTGACGAAAAGAAAAGGGTAATTAACCAAGAGCAAATTAAATGTAATAAAACTACTCACCGGTAGAAAGTCGAAAAGAGGGTGGGGGCCAGATTGTCCAGTGGTGAGTCTACCAATGCCGGGGTCTACTTTATACATGGCATGGGGTGGTGGAATCCCTGGGACCGGTGGAGTTGCAAATCTCTGCAAATTATACATCCACGAAATATAACTAATTAACCATATATATATACAAAAATACTAGCTATGTATAATAATTAACATGCATATGTATATGCATGTATTAATGTATCTACGTACACATATATATATTTATATATATATATATCATATATGTATGCATATAGGATTTATATTCCCAAGAATACTGGAAAGAAAATATATATTATAAAGGAACCATATACTGGTGAAATAGAGACATAAAGAAAGGCGCCAAAATAATAGAAGTGTGATTATAATGTTTTACCGCGGCTGTAGCCAGTGGTTGTGGAAAGCACGGCGTTCCTGGGGTTAGTGCATTGGGAACCTACACCCAAAAAAGAAAAAGAATATGCAAATCTTTAATAACAATGAGCTAGAGAAAGAGAGTTGAAAAAAAAAAAAAAAAAGAGTCTGGCGAACAAAAAACTAACTGTCCAATACGCTTAACTGTGCCTCTCATCCGATTTTCAACGTTGTCAACGTTGCTGTAGTTGATCATGTTTGTTTGAAAATTCTATACCGATGATAAAAAAAGTACCTCAAATAGTGACTTGTTATCAACAGTCAAATTTATATAAGATTTTATGAGCTTTAAATACTTTTTATTTAAAAGAAGATTCTTTTCAAGTTAGTTTAAAATGATTGACTAATGCTCAGAAACATATACAGGAAGTAAAAGTCTCATCACTAAATAGACGTTTAATTCATGTATTTAAAATTATAATTTAAAATTATTTTTATTTTATGTGTATTTTTTATAAAAAAAAATTACTATAAAGAATTATAAATCATGATTCAAAATCAGAAATGAATATAAAAAATAAACATCCTCTAAATAATTTCAAAGCAATGAATGTACTTGTAACAAGTTTGTGAAATTAAGAGTAAGAGAATTTACACGCTGGTGGGGTGAGTGCCAGTAGGAATGGTCCGGGTGTGGAGGATGCGGCGGCCAGGCTGCTTGAGGAGGCGGCGGCGGGGGATTGGAGGAGTGGGGTAAGTGTTTCGGGGGCCACACGTGCATAAGGGATTGGTCAATTGTGGGATGGCCCCACACGTGTAAGGGTCTAAAGTGGTGGTGGTGCATGGGTGGTACCGGTGGTGGTGGTGTCATGGGAGGGAAGCCCATGGTGGGTGCCACCGCCGGCCATGGGCTCACATCCCTCTTCCCCGCTGCCACCGCCGCCGACCCGTACATTTGCCGCTTCTGGCTCCAGCTTGCCGCCTCCGCCTCACGCGCCAGCAAATGTTTCCGATGTGACCGATATTTCTGCACAAAAGCATACCACACGCACACATCACTCAGTAAGTCCGTACTAATTCTACACGTATAATTTTACTCAAAGCATATATATACATATATAGGCAATACAAATGTGACATCATGTATTTTAAGGCTTTATGAACTAGCTAATCTCACCGGCCTTTCGGGTTTTCTGAAGCTTAAAGCACATAAAACTGAAAATATATATCATGTACGTCTGGAATTACCTAACGGAGCTTAAGATAAGTTTGTAAAGTACTTATCATAACTTGAAATCTGGAATTTCCCTAGTTACTTGAATGGCCTTCTTCATAATTTTATGGGGAAAACATTAGGATATATCTATATATATATATATATATATATGCTAGTTACAAGTTCTATTCTTTTCGTATTTCAACGAATTACTAAACCTAAACGATATTCATGATGAAAGAAACGTACATGAAGTGATGAGCCTTCTTATTTTTCAATTTCACTTGCTTATATGTTTCTTTATGGAGAAAATCTATATCAGTTGTACATACGAATATATATACATATATATATATATATGTTAGAGGCAAAACGAAGAAAAAGAAATATTATTAATGCAGACTCTAACAAATGTGAATCTGCAATAATATGAGCCTATTCCAAAAAAAAAAAAAAAGAAAAAAGATTTTCCAAAAAAAGAAAAAGAAAAAGAAAGAAGAAGAGAAACTACTAATTAAACTTGAGCAAATTTTTTAAAGAGAGAGTTTAATAGTTATCGTACTTGGAGATGACTAGCAATGTTATGGCGAGTGAGACAATTGATTCCCATAATCTCTAAAATCCGTGAAGGCACTGCCTTATCCACCCCTAATTGCTCCACTGCCTGCACGAACCGCCTGTGAAGTTCTGGCGTCCAATCCACCTACACGCAATTCAAGAAACCAATCCAAAAAAAAAAAAAAAAAACTATTATAAAAGTCTCTTTAGAATCTTCGAATTATAAACCAAATTAGATAAATATGGGTTTTAACAGTTAGCTATCTCTTCCTCTTCACGTGATTTATTTGTATTTTGTACACTTTACAAAGCTTGTATTGAAGACCCCATACAATTACATATAATTATTATTAATATTATCGTGTGTTGTCCACGAGCTTCCTACTCTTTATCAACCAAAAAATAAAGTTCTTAAACCTAATTGCATCAATAAATATATATGAATAACCTTGTACTACCCAATATATCAATTTATTAATTATTACCTTCACTTTTCTTTTCCCTTGAGAATTCTTCGACTGTGCCGTCGACGATGCCGACGTCTTTTTACCTCCTTTTTCGCCTTCTTTCGTCTTCGCTGCCACCGCCGCCGTAGTCGATATCGGATTCTGCACTGTTACAGTACTGCTCTCTTCATTTTTACTGCTAGTTGGTCTCGAATTCGATCCCGAAATCTTATCTTCCTCTTTCTTCGTACTGTTATGCTCATCAGCCGATCTTTCCACCGATACCGACGTCTTCACGTCGGAGTACTCCTTGCCGCCGCTGGCAGAAAATTCGGCGAGGATCTCCGGGTCCATCTCCAAGTCGGGCAAGACATCGCCGTCGTTGATGCCGATGAAAAGGTCGTCGAAATCGATGCTGTCGAGAAGGTTCGAGTCAGCAAAGTCCGGGAATCCATCACCGCCGCCGCCGCCAAAGCCGTTGATCGAGAAATTGCTCTCCACCGCTCCTTGCTTTTCATCTCTGGTGGTGTTCCTCAATGGTGACACGGCAAGCATTACAACACAAGCCCAAACTACGATAGAAATAGGCTAGTAATTAGTACTAGTATGATTAATAAGTTTTGTGCATATATATATATGTGTGTGTGTGTGGATAACTTGTTTGATAAGTAGACGAGTGTTTGAAAGGGGAAAGATTTTTCCGGTGGAATTGGACGGAGAGAATATTAAAGAAGAAGAAAAGGGGACAAAGGAGTGTTGTTATAATGGGGTTAATTAGAGAATTTAGTGCTTTTTATTTATTTTTATTTTTTCTATTTACTTTGCAGTGACAGTGGGACAATATGAGGGGTTGAATCTCAACCACAATATGTGTTGAGATCTCTGAGAGGATTTTGTTTTTATGCATTCGTTTTTGTTTGGGAATGGCTGATTATATACAATTATTTTTATTTTTTTTCCCAGCAGTACTGTTTGTTATATTCGGTTTGTGGATGACCTTTTTTTGAAGGTTTGAAAATCAGTGAAAGGTGCTCGTGAGCAATTCTACCTTTTCAAAAATGTATTTTTTAGGAAAGGAGGGGAGAGAGAGAGAGAGAGAGAGAGAGAGAGAGAGAGAGAGAGAGAGAGAGAGAGAGAGAGAGAGAGAGAGAGAGAGAGGTGGGTGTGTGTGTGTGTGTGTGAGAAGAGAGAGAGAGAGAGAGAGAGAGAGAGAGAGAGAGAGAGAGAGAGAGAGAAGGTTCTGTTCATGTCAGTGAGTAGGGTTGGATTGGAAATGGATTGATATGTTCAGTTCATGTATATCTGTTGTGAATGAAAAAAAAAAAAGAAAGAAAAGAAAAGAAAAGAAAAGAAAGAAAGTGATACGTATTCATGTGGATGAACCAATTGACCTTTGTAATTTTCCATATGACAGATAATATGCATAATTATTCTATTTTTCTTTATTCTCTTTTTCTGCTATAAACTGATCATATAATTTGAGAGGTCAACTAAGGGTAGCGCCGTATGTCTTCAACAGTTTTTTGAGTTCAAATATACCTCATTCACTTCATTTATTCGAGTTTAGAATTCGAGTTGAGATGTGACTTTATGTGAAAACTTTTTACTGTAGCAAAAAAATTAGATGTGATTGTTTGTGAGAGTTTTTTACTGTAAAAAAACTCGAATTCTAAACTCGAATCAGCAAAGTGAACGGAGCTTAAAGCTTCTCAACATCAACGACTCAGCATATAAGATAATAGAAGATAATTTATGCTATAAACAAAGAAAATATATAGAAGATAATATTATCTTTTCAATTACCAAAAAAACTCTACTCTTGCAAATTAAAGTTTGGAGTTAAGTTCTCTAATGGGCTAGAGATCATTTGTACTCAGGGTCTGAGGTCGATCTTTCCATTTGTTTTCTTTTGGTTGATTTGAAATGTCAAGTCAACTATATTCTTTCTTAAAAGAAAATAATTAGTACTGAATATGGATTGCGGTTTAATCATTTGAACTTTGAGGGAAGGACATTAATGGAGTAGAAAAGCCAAGTCAAAAAAGCCAAATTGAAAAAAAAAAAAAAAAAAAAAAAAAAAAAAAAAAAAAAAAAAGACAACAAGCATACATCAATAGATCAAAACAAGAAGAGACAAATAGATCACAACGAGCAAATCAATAGAACAAAGCAATATTTTACCTTTCAAAAAAGAAGAAGAAAACATTTCAACTAATAAAAAATCTATGAAAATAGAAAGCTAGTTCTTCGAATTGAGTTATTCTTATGCTTGGTTGAGTGAAATGATTTAGTGATAAGTATTATTTTGGAATTGCTATTCCCACAAAACGCACGAATTTATATTCTTTAATGGACTAATAAAATGATGGTTCTTTCTAAAGCGATATTAATGGAATAGCAATAAAAAATCTATGAAAATGGAAAGCCAACTCTTTGGATCGAGTTATTTTTATGCTTGATTGTGTAAAATGATTTAGTAATAGCTATTATTATGAAATTGCTATTCCAACAAAATGCATGAATTTATATTCTTAAAATGGACTAATAAAATGATGATTCATTCTAAATCGATATTAATTAAATATTTTGTCCTTAAAATTACTTCTCTTGGTGTAGTAAAAGTTACTTTAATTATGTTATTGATCTATGTCATTCCATACTAATGACTAACTGAATCTAATAATTGTGATTTCAATGTTAACTCTGATATTCAATCAAGTAATTAAGTTAGAATAACCTAATATTCAATCTACTAGTTGGATGCTTGGTAATTTATTTTTCCCATATACATTTCCACAAAAATTATATTAAGCAACAATTATTTAATGATAGTTTCTATAAAAGTGTTTTCTTGTTTTGGAAATCTTCACAGAAATTTAACGACGCTTTTTTTTTTTTTTTTTTTTTTTTCAAAAACACCGTTAAAGCTTTACTTTCTACGATGGTTCTCAGTAACAATCGTTATATATATATATATATATATACACTTCCAAAATAATTAATAAAAGGCACATGGGGTTTAAATTGCAAAATTCCGGATCTTAAAACAGTCTACTTACCGCCCTCCATAAAATAAGAGGAGAGCAGAAAAATTTGTAAATACATTGATTAGTTGATAATTGCTTAATTTGTAAATATTATTTTTTAAAATTTATCCGTGGATTCTCATTTGTAATTTTTAATGAATATTTTAATGACTATTTCAATAAAGCAATTCCAGTTCTTTTCCGTAATGAAATGTGTAATAATTTAGGCTAAATTAACATAGGGATGGGCCACCCATAGAAAAACTAGAAAATGATTATAGTTTTGTCCTTATAAAGGCACATTTATTGACGCTTAACAATCGTCGTTGTATGTCCAAGTTTTTTAACAGTGTTTTCTAAACGTCGTTATTTCCCTTTTTTTAATTAGTGCAAAATTTATTATCCCGATGCAAGTGACATTTTTTTTTTAAGGGAATATAAATTCAAATCAAAGCAAATACAAATACCAATCTTAAACTACAATAAAAGCACAACCTAGAAAAAGATTGGTCCTACCAGTCACCTCAAATACAATGCTTAATAGGAATAGACATTTTCCAAGTTCCGAAATTGGACAACTAAGTAGGTATATATATGATTGAGTATAAAACTGGCTCTTTAACAAAATCTCTGCAATCAATAGAAAAATTCGATCGATTGAAATCTAAAATCCCATAGTACAATGGTAACCCAAAACACCATTAGTAAAGAAAACTAGTGAACTAAAAACACAACCCAACACTATAAAACAAGACAAACACACTGCCAAATTATTAAGGTAAAAAACGTTGTTATTACAAACCACAATACAATGAAAAATAAACATCTGAAGAACCGTTGTCAAAACCTCCGACAATGAGACAACTGACGAAAAAGCTACTAACAAAAGAAGCAGAGCCAAAGAGACACAAAAAAAATATTGAGGTGCTGCTTGAATAGGGGCGCTTGAGCCCCGCATGCATGGTATCATTGTCTATCATTGTCGTTGCCGAAAAAGAACATTGCCACCACCATAGGAGTTGAGGTTAGCCCTAAAATGATTGGTTATGAAGGTTATGAAGATAATTCATCCTTTTGAAAGATTATATGTATACCCAGCAACCTATAGCTCTAGAATGATCCACTTATACAAGCCTAATATTTCACTAAATTGATAATATGGGGGAAGATTTAATTAGTTACTAAGGTCCGTTAATTTAGATAATACCCATTAAGTCAAAGATAGAGGTTTGAATTTGGAATAATGCGGGTTAAATCTCACATTATATATAAAAGAAAATTCTATTTTTCTTTATATCTGTTATTTATTGTTATAAAAATATATTGAATGTACATGTATATTGTATGCAAGTACGTAACCTATATTTGTGGTGCAAAATGAAAAAAAAAAAAAAAAAAAAAAAAAAAGGTATACTATAGAATTTTTAAAGTCTTACACGCAACCTTCCACTTTCAAGCACGTATATGTACTTGACATCGTTAGAGAGTGATATTCACTGAGATTGATGGAGAGTAAAAAATATAATATTTACTAATCAAAACACTGTTGGAACTTGGAGAAACTGTTGCTGAATTTATGTTTCGATCATTCGAATTTTTAATTTAAATTGAGATGTAATTTTATGTGAGATTTTTTTATTGTAATAAAAAAATTAAATGTGGTTATTTTTTAGAATTTTTTACTGTAATAAAACTCAAATTTTAAACTCAAATCAGTGAAATAAATGATGTTTTAGTGTTATTTGTAATTTTGTACCCAAGAAAAAAAAAAAAAAGGGAAAATGCAGTGACATATTTGGGGAAGGGGATTCTAGTTAACATCACTTTCCACTGGGTCTGTATTATGTTTGTCTTTTCCTATAATTGTAGTTGCATCCTTTTCACTGCTACATTTGTCCCTTTGGTCGTGTGTGTAATCTTCGCAAGATCGACTAATTAATGAAATTCGACAAAATTAGGAGATGTGTCTAAAGCTATGAGTGAATATCTCAAAAAAGTTTTGATTGTGGGGAAAACATTTATTATTTACAGAGTAATATACGAATACATAAATTTGAATAAATATAGGAGATAAGTACAGAGAAAGCTAATACAAGTTAGGATAATTATAAAATAATAATATTAATTGCACCGGTGCACCCTAAATTTATTTGTATTTCTTAATTTGGACCTTCAAAATTTTATTTTGACAAATAAGTCCATGATTTGAATATTTATAGCAATTGTGGGGTCCAGTAGCTAATGAGAGTCAAATAATATGGATAAGTCCTAAGATTTAACACAAATACTTTCCAAGTTTTTCATTGATTGGCAAGTTAAACCCTAAACTTTTTAAATTTTGACAGTTTAGATTATAATTGTCGTCTATTAATTAACTATGTTATCAATTAAACTGCATTTCAAAGATTTTGCATTAAAAAAACTGCATTTCAAAGATGATCAAATTCAAGGTCCTTAATTTCAAAATTAAAACTTTGAAGCTCAACTTACAAATGACGAAAAATTAGTGCATGCAATTTACCCTTGCAAAAAATCTCGTTTATATTTATTTTATTTTTTTGAAGATACTCTGTACACTTAGAAATGAAAGAAAATCATGTTGCCAAGAGTTATACAATTTCTCATTTGACCTTTACTAATTAATTAACAGCGTTTAAATACTAAAATTGTATAACAATAGTACATAAATCCAACCAATTCATTTATTCCTCATCTCCTCTCTATCCATCTATTCTCCCACATGCTCTTTGAGACAAACTTATATATATAGCAGCAAAATGCGTGATTTTTAGCACGATAATCTCCCGAATTTGTCTTGGTTTAATAAATTGCTCAACAAATTTTTAATTTTGACA